TGTTGCCCTAAAAGTACATACAAACGAATGAAGAAACAGCAACAACAACAATTACCGCAATACCGAGAAGTGCCCTTTTTTATGAAAAAATAAAATAAAACTAATTTTTAAAATTAAGAAGAATATTGATGTGTTATGTTTTGTTTTTGTTTTTAAAAGTAATTGTGATTTTTGGTGTTTTGTGAAAGAGGTGATACATCTTAAAAGGTTAACAAAAAATTACAACAAATTTTACTAAAAAAGTTTTCATATAAAACCGAATATTGTTTTGTGCTTTAAAAATAGTTATTATTGAAATTGTGAAAATCTTAAGCAACTAAATATTAAAACATATAGTAATAATATATAGAATGCTTTTGAATTGTCTACGAAGCAATTTGTAAAACAAATAAAAATGTCTACCTTAAAAAGTGAACAAGAAATAATAAAGCCATCCTTTTATTGTCTATCTTTCAATTCTATTTCGAGTGTATAACAATTTTTCACAAGAAGTATTCGAACTCTCTTTGGTAATAGGGTTGCCATGAGTTAACTAAAAATGATTTCCAATGGACTAGCAGCGATCATTTTGAACAACAACAACAATACTAGTAATGTGTTTTCATCGATTTCTTCGCAATCGAATAAAATAATGAAGAACTATTCGTTAAGTTCGGTGGAACCAAACATTTTGAACCATACACGATAAAAATACGGCCACTTTTTTATGAAATTAAATTTTTAAACTCACATAAAACTATACCACACTGGAGCGAATGCTTCTTAGCGTATGGCTAAAATTGCCGATGTAAGGAAAAACGGTCGGAACCGTTGTACCATAGCACGAACGTTGACCTATACCGAATCCTTTTACAAATAAAATTTTACACCAATGATCACTAAAATATTAAAATGCAACCAAATTCGATGGACAATTTCCCCAAAAGTCTCAAAATCCCGATTCTTGAGTTTACCATTATGTGGGCCATTGACCAATATTAATTATTTTGTGTATGAAATTTTGCGACCCAATCAGAATTTAAAATAAAAAGATTGTAGCCAACTAGGTTGGAAAATGTGTCCAAAATTCTTAAATACAGTAAAATCTCACTAATCCGCATAATTGATTGCAGACCCCAATCCGGATTACAATTTTTTTCGGATTACCGAGGTTTTTAAATTTGCTTAATTATAGCCTTCACCACAATGTGATGCAGGGTATTAAGTCTTTGTGCATATGTTTCTAACAGGCAAAAGGAAACGAGATAGATACGTGTTTCCTTTCATAGAATCACTTTCTGAGTCGATTTATGCATGTCCGTCCATCCGTCCGCCTGTTCATGTAATTGTAAACAGGTCGCATTTCTGATCCGATTTGGATGAAATTTGGCACAGCTCATTTGTATTGTCCAAGGACAAACCGTATTGAAATTGGGAAACATCGGTTCAGATTTAGATACAGCTCCCATATATATTTTCGTCCGATTTAATGTAAATGGAGCACCAAAGTACATATATATCTTTCGATTTACACGAAATTTGGTACAACATACTAAATTAAGACCACAATGATGTGTGCTAAGTTTCGTAAAAATCGGTTTAGATTTAGATATAGCTCCCACATATATTTCCGTCCGATTTTATGTAAATGGTGCACTAAAGTTTCTATATATTTTCCAATTTCCACGAAATTTGGCATAGCGTACCGAATTGGGTCTAAAATGATGTGAGCTAAGTCCCGTGAAAATCCGTTCAAACATAGACATAACTACCATATATAGTTTCGTCCAATTTTATGTAAATGTTGCACCAAAGTCCCTATATATCTTTCGATTTGTACGAAACTGCGTCTAGAATGACATGTACCAAGTTTCATGAAAATAGGTTCTATATTTAGATATAGCTCCCATATATAGTTTATGCAATTTGTGCACTTAAGACCCAGAGATTATAAATAAATCTCTGGCAATTTTCATTGAAATCGATTCAGATATATTAATTTTTTCGTTGGATTTTAAGTAAATTTGCACCGAATGACACGAAATTTTTCACGACGTATCTAATTGAGACTAGAATGACGTTATAGCGTTTTGTTGAAATTGGTGCAGATACGAACACAGCTTTCATATATATTTCAAACGAGTCTGTAATTGAGATTAAATTTAGAAGATTGCGGCCTACGGAATAGTGTATATCAAGTTTGCTCTAAATCGATTTACATAAATATGTCCCATTTTATGCAAACGCCTCTAAACTTCCAAAAATTCGAAAAGATCGCATATTCAAGTTCGTTCAGTTTCATGTCAATGTTCTTAAAAAATGCGACGTCTGTTAGGAGACCTATGAAGAATATACCCAAAATGGTGAAGGGTATCATATAGTCGGCCCAGTCCGCCTTTACTACTTTACCTCATTGGTTTTGTAATGAAAAACCAAATGGATACTTTGGAATTAGACTAACTGTATATCGGTCCACTTTTTGGGGTAGCGTGATTTTCACTGGGCAGAAAATCTTCCTATAATGACAGCGCCGCATTGTCAGTTTGGTTTGAAACTGTGATAAATCGGCACACGTTTTGGTATAACCCCCTACAAAACGGTGCCTTAAATATTTGGTATTTTTATTTGCATCCGAATTGTCTGCAATTTAGTATTTTCAGTTATCATCATTACGAAAGGACTGAAATTGGAATTCCGGGACATTGGAGTTAAAAAAAACTGTTCCACAGAACATTTGAGTCCATGTTTCTGTGCAGTCCGTATACGAAGGTCGCGCGTCATTTTCGATATGGTCGTGGTTCTAGACTTATTTTCAAAATGAGTGTTTCTAGTTTGTTGTTTCGTTTTCTAGTGGCTGCAATATAGTCGGATCGATTTTAGGTAATTTGGATATCCACCTCATGCTGGAGGGTATAAAAAGTTCTACCCGACCTAACTTAACGATGTGTTTACTTCTTTTTACGTTTTATACCCTACACAACTATGCTGTCAGGGTATTATAGCTTTGTGCAGCCCCAAGAGTTTGTAACGCCGCGAAATGTTGGGCCTAGACCCACCTTTAAGTATACCGATCTCGACTAGCTGAGTCGATCTAGACATGTGTGTCCGTCCGTCCGTCTGTCCATTATAATTTGTAAACACGATACAGGCCACAGTTATGGACCAATCTTCACGAAATTTTGCATGTAGGATGGGTTCCGGCCAATGAAGACCCCTATTGGTTTTGTTAAAGATCGGTTAATATTTAGGGGATGAAATGGACCAAAAACTTTATTTTTGTCTGATTTTCTGGTCGCTCTAGACGCCGCAATTATGGTCCAAATATCGCGAATTTTTACATGGAGAAGAAGAATTTTTACATGGGCCAAAAAATAAGCATTTCTCTTTTGATAAAGATCGGTCAATATTTAGTGGTTCAAATGGTCCACAGGGCGACTTTTGTGTGAAAAATTACAAAATTTGTATTTTATAGCGTATATATTTATCCGTGAAGGATATATACCCCAGAAGTTGATAGTATATCCAAGAGGCGTGGTTAACCTTTAAATTGATACCAATTATATTGTCGTATGTACTGGGATGTGAGAGTATTATTTAGTAACCCTCTCCCACACTAGAGGACGGAAATATAGCGCTGATCGCTTTGAAATTTTCCATGAGATTCCAGTTATGGTCAAGGACAACGCAAATAATTTTCGGTGATGATCAGATAAAAATTTTGGGATGAAGTGGACCGAAAACTTAATTTTTTGGTGTTTTTTTTTTCGAGTCGATCTGTAGGCCACAATTGAAAGTCGAACATCACAACACAACTCACGGTGAAGGTAATCAGGAGAAGTAATTAGAAGAGCTGTACTAAATATAAATTAGTAATATTTGTTGACATCAGGAGTACAGAATATAGAACTACAGAGAGTTATATTTTCGAGGAAGTTGTGTAGGGTATCATATGGTCGGCCCCGTCCGACTATACTGCTCCGCTCACTGGTTTTAAAATCCATCTGTCTATTTTCTGCCTTACTTACTTATTTCCTTGTTTTCCTCCAACTGTATCCCTGCCAAAATATCCCCTATTAGCATACACATGGCAACCCTATACACCCTTGCAAAGAGGCAAACAAAGAGAATGAGTTGTACCAACTTCAATTCTTCTCTGGCGGTCAAAATTGTCTACAAAGAAATACCACAATGTACGAACCGGTTTCCTCGCCGAACTATACATTTCCATAAAACAACAATAAGAAAAAAAACAACATGGGAATGCTTAAAAAAAATACAGAAAAAATTAAAAAAAACACAATAAGCAAATTGACAATAAATTATGGCAATATACTATTTTCTTTTCGTTGTTGTTGCTGCTGCTGTTAAATAATAATTGTTTTTATTTATTTGTATGCACTTTTGTTGCAGTGATTAAAATCCATTAATAAAATATATATTGGACATGAAATTGTTAATACAAAAAAAAAAAGAAGTAACATAAAATATATGCGTTTGTTTTGAAAGTCCACATGTATGTCTGTACGTTTGTGTGAGCTAATAACAACAATAATAAAAAAATCCCATACAATATATAATCAAGTGGTCACAACAAAAATAAAATCAATTGAAAACCTATTATAATTGGACACGTTTCCTCATGAAGTGCTGGGAAAACAAGTGAAACGAATTAAAACATAATAATAACGACGCGGCCAAACAAAAACCCTATATTTACACCGCACAGAAGCAGTAGCAGCAGCATCAGCAACAACAACCTCAATAATCCAATTGAGGTTGTGTTCATCATCGAGAGTGTGGGGGAAACAAAATTTCCTTCCTCATTCAAACTCACACGCCCACACTAAATCAACAACAGTGCACAAAAAAAGCGGACCAGCCAGACAACAATCAGCCGAAGCGCATTTTGCGTTTTCCGCTCTCAACCAGTTTTCCATATCCTGTTTTACATTGTTTGTTGTAACGTTCCAACACGTTTCACGGAACAACGTCATGACGGAACGACGACACCGAGGAGCGTTTACAAAAATGTGGCCAATGTCCATAATGGTGACATTCGTGGTGTTGGCAGTGTGTGTGAAAAATATATCCTGCGATTATGAAAATACATGGAATTTTTACAACGAACAGCCATGTTGTGGCGGCAGTGACAATGCGAACTATGCCACCAAACATCGACGAGGTAATTATGAATTTAGAATATACAAAAATAAACACACAGAACAATTACAATGCTGTTTACAAATATTTGCATTTTAATGCAGGATACTTCATTTAGAATTGGGTGGGTGGAAATGTGGAAATTCAGATTTGTTGATATTTGGAGCATTAATAGGAGGGAGGAGGATTTTGTATGGAACCAACAATGAAATTTAAATAAGTCAATATTATTTAGCACTAAAGTTTTGTTGTATCCGTGGGCTAGAGCTTTTAATATTGTAACGAGTAATCAATTGTCATCTGTGTTGTTACAGTAGACCACGGATATAACAACATCCAAAAAAAAATCGAGAAATTTGTTCTTATAAGCGGGTTTTTCTTATATGAATGTATTTTTCTTATGTCCGTGTTTTTCTTATATAAGATGTTCTTATATCCGTGGTCTACTGTAATAGAAGTATTCCTCAATGTGTTGTAAAAAATGTCAACGATTTCTTCGAAAGATTCGCAAAAATATAATCACATGTATTAGTTATAGCAATAAATCGGAACGAATACCATGGCTAATATATATGGTTTTATTGATTTTATATCCTTCAACATAAATTGATCATTCGCCCTAAAAAGGCATAAAAAACAAAACTCAAAAAAATCAGAGTGAGCCCGGCTGGAATTTGAACCCCGGGTTCCATGGCATCTGTTGATGCCGGCGCCTTAGCATTCAAAGCCACCTCCTTATCTTTCTAAGGTTGCACAATATGCAGTTGCATACCATTGAAGAAAAATATTGTAGTCTGTATGGAAAAAAGTCCGCCACTACAAGAAAAATCTGCTCTGAAAAGGAATGTTCTAGTGTAATGCCAAATGTCCGAACCTTGACCCGGTTAAATTTAATTCGACATAGCAGTAAACCCGACATAGCAGTAAAGTAAAACCAAAAACCCGTATTATCAGAAAAAACATCAAAGCCAGGGTAAACATTTTTCAACGAGCCAAACAAAAAAAAAAAAAAAAAATGTACAGGGTTCGATTGGCAACGTGTGACCGGGTTCGATGAATCCAAACTAAACCGTTTTTAATCCGACGATAAAGATCATTGCTGATGAAAACTAATTTAAAGACACAACGTGAAGTACGGTTGAGTAACCGTCATGGTATGAGAAGGCTTTTACTTGAGCGACCTTGGACCGATGTAAAAATATTGACAATATAATAATGAAAGTAGTCTATTGAGAGCTTTGTAGAGGCATATTAATCGGTTTCGGTAAATAAGAACATCTATCCCATAAAAGAAGTAATTATGAGCAGGACGGTGATCCAAGTCAAACGTCCAAAATCGTGAGAGAATAACCTGGTGAGCAAATATTGTAATTAACGCAGTGGCCAACTCAGAGTACCGGTCGCCATCCGAAGCATAATTTTAGGTCAATCGCAAAGGAGAAAGGTGGGACATTAATTTTTATATTCTGTAGCAAATCTTGTTATAGGTCTTGGTTGATTTTTTGTTATAACCCCTATATAACAGTATTTTGGTTGTTTTTCGTATTTTGGGCATGTTTTTCGACCAAATTGGAAATAATATGGTTTTATACCCTTCACCACACTGTGATACAGGGTATTATGTCTTTGTGCATATGTTTGTAAAAGGCAAAAGGAAACGAGATAGACACATGGTTCCTTTTGAGAATATGCATAGAATCACTTTCTGAGTCGATTTATGCATGTCCGTCCGTCTGTCTATGTTAAATTGTAAGCAAAGTACAGGTCGCATTTATGATTCAAATTGCATGAAATTTGTTAAAGCTCATTTATGTAGCCAAGGACGAATTCTATTTAAATTGGTTAAAAATCGGTTGAGATTTAGATATAGGTCACATATAAGTTTTCGTCCGATTGACGATAAATGGTGCACCAAAGACCCTATATATCTTCGATTTTCATGAAATTTGTCATAGCGTACTCAATTAAGTCTAGAATGGTTTGTGTATTTTCGTGAAAATCGGTTCAGATTTAGATATAGGTCCCATATATATTTTCGTCCGATTTAATGTTCATGGCGTTTCAAAGTCCCTATATATCTTTTGATTTGAACGAAATTTGGCATAGCGCACTGAATTGAGTCTAGAATGATGTGTTCTAAGTTTCATGCAAAACGGTTGAGATTTAGATATAGCTCCCATATATATTTTCGTCCGATTTTATGTAAATGGTGCACGAAAGTCCCGCATATCTTTCGATTTTCACGAAATTTGGCATAGCGTACTGAATTGAGTCTAGAATGATGTGTTCTAAGTTGCGTGAAAATCGGTTCAGATTTAGATATAGCTCCCATATACATTTTCGTCCGATTTAATGTTAATGGTGTCCCAAAGTCCCTACATATCTTTTGATTTGCACGAAATTTGGCATAGCGTACTGAATTGAGTCTAGAATGATGTGTTCTAAGTTTCATGAAAATCGGTTGAGATTTAGATAGAGCTCACATATATATTTTCGTCCGATTTGATGTAAATGGTGCACGAAAGTCCCTGCATATCTTTCGATTTGCACGAAATTTGGCATAGCGTACTGAATTGAGTCTAGAATGATATGTTCTAAATTTCGTGAAAATCGTTTCAGATATAGATATAGCTCCCATATACATTTTCGTCCGATTTAATGTTAATGGTGTTTCAAAGTCCCTGTATCTTTCGATTTGCACGAAATTTTACATATTGCACTGAATTGAGTCTAGAATGAAAAAAGCTGCTGGTTTGCACCGATGTGTGAGAGCTCGCTTTGTCATAATACAATGATTCGTCTACTTTTGTTAGTATTTTTCCAATTTGGTGTACTACCTGGAATTGACGGTTACCGGGGTAAAGGTGCCAAACGTGTTACATAGTTCCAATTAATAGCTCGGTCACATTACCTCTCCGTAATTTCGTAATCCGTAATTTAGAATGTTCGAGTACCAGAAATGGAGCAACACGATCGAGGTCTATTAAAAGAGTGTTTGATTTTATATCCTCAACATTATCACTATACACTTTGCTATGATAAAATTGTGCTTCATGGAAATAGCGGTTTTTTATCCCAAGTATAATTGGAATAAAATCCGTTTCAGACAATTAAAATAATGTTTAGCTAGTTCGTACGATATCTCTCGAAGGAAGCTACCGATTTCTTCCAGATTTAGATTGAGATCGATGATGGGGTATATCGGCCCACTCCATATTGGTGCCGCCTTTGCAAAATTATTAAAAATGTGCTGAAAATAAATTTTATATCATAATGGAAACTGATTATCCAATTTGAACAATTATTTGCCCAAACTTTAAACACTTTGCACATCGTAATATTTTAACAAAACCTTCCATTGCTTTGTAATATTAATTGTGTTTAATAATTTTATAATTTGCTAAATAACGTTTTTCATATTTCTCTTTTCAGGTAAGAATCGTATTCAATGTTAAATGTTTTTTTTTTCTGTGGTATGTATTAACTTCGCAAACATAAATGCACTGCAAAATTGCGGTCAATGTCTTTATGAACTGCAATCTCACTTTCGCAACAAAATCGTTATATGCACTACAAAACTTCATTCCACGAATTAAATCAAATATGTAAAGGTCAGTATTACATGAAAAATGTTAAAAACTGTAATCACTTTGATCGAATTTCCGTATGTAAGTCAATATTCTGTTACATGGCATTTTTCCGGCTGCCATAACAATGCAATTATTCAGGTCGTTTTATTCGTTTTTGTTGTTGTTATTTTGTACGCGAAAAAATATCACCGCCAATTAACCATTGAAAGCAATGGACAATCACAATTGATTGACAATTTTCGCCGAGTGAAATATGAAAGCAAAAATTATCAAGCGGACTGCCTGCCAGCCAACCTGGTGGGCTGTCTACAATAAATCTGGCTGGTCATCTGAGAGCCAGGTTGACTGCTTGTAAAACGATAAAGAAGGATTCATTTTTGTTTTTTATTTTATATTGAATAACTTTAATTAATTGATTATTATTATTGGTTATGTTTTATATTGGCGTTGTCATATTTTTCATTCCGTAAGTTATACATGTGTATATATTTACGTTATATCGTATATATTGCAACGCTTTTGTTTAACTCGGAGATCATATATATCGTTTGGTAATATATAAAGGATATGAACTACTGCGTTGAAGTAAGATTTTTATTTAAACTTGTTGTTCTTGCTCCTTTTGTCCTTTGGAGTATTTTCATCATAAATAAATAGTATTAATTTCACTCATATTTTATTATCGATTGGTTTTTATTTCGTTATATAATAAATATGCATATCCGAGTACGTAAGGTAATATGCATTGTAAAACAATGCAGATATTTCCTCTGGGTCAGCGTAGTTTGTGGTTAAATATTTAAATTTTACATAAAATTTACTTTTCACACCTTGGGTTCCAAAGACATCGAATATAATATAAATTCTCGAATATCTAATGTCTAACTACCTAAAACGTTACTGATCCGAGGTGGTGCTCTTGTTACTTCAACCTATTTTTATACCCTTCACCATAGTATTTTGTTTTTCCTTATGTAACTCATAGAAATAATCGTTTCTGACCATATAAAAGATCAGTGTAAAATTCTATGACGATTTAAGCATGTCCGTTGGTCCGGCCGTCTGTCTGTTGTAATCACTCTAGCCTCTAAACGAATTGACATATATCGCCATGATTTTGCATAGAGTCGTCCTCAGGTAGGTCAAGTTCGAAGATGGGTTATATCGGCCTACGTTTAGGCATAGCTTCCATATAAGGATACCCCCAATTTTTGGTATTATGGAGTTCTTGAGCGCATTTTTAAACCAAAATTCGCTGAAAATTGGTACATTGGGTTCTAGATATAGGTCCATATTTTCTGGTAGCCTGCATATCACGATATCTCCCACTTTTTAGTATTTTTGGGTTTTGATAGCAATTTTCGATCGAATTGGCTGTAATTTAGTACTTTGAGTTTTTTTTGGGTAGCAAATCTCTCCTACCGAGTTTCGA